AGAGGGCCTTTTCGGTGGTGGCCCCTCGACTTTGGAACTCACTCCCTAAAGACATCAGACAGGCTCCAACCTTGGCAGTCTTCAGGAGGAACTTGAAGACATGGCTGTTCCAGTGTGCCTTCCCAGAATAATGTTCCCATAGCACTTTGTCCTCCAAAGCACTTTACATTTTTTAAGTCTGCTCGTATGCCCATTCATAAACACCAGTATCATCTTCCGTTCATGTCCCAGCATATCTCCAATTTTAACATTACATTTGGCCTCCCCTCTGTTTTTAATTATGTGTTGTTTTTGATAATGTTGTTTATTTTATTGTCTATGTTTTTAATTGCTTGTATTGTTGTTTTATTGCTTGTATTGTTGTGTTTGGGCTTGGCCTCATGTAAGCCGCACCGAGTCCCTTGAGGAGATGGTAGCGGGGTACAAATACAGTTAATAATAATAATAATAATAATAATAATAATAATAATAATAATAATAAATGTCTTCCTCCTTTAAATTACTAACAATGTACTGCTCCAATTGCCCACTTATCTCTGACTCATGGGAGAACCAGCCCAAAACAAGCTTGTGCTGTTGGTTCAAATCTGCACACCTTTGTCTGCAAGCTTCCAAATATCCAGCAGACTCAATCTGCTGATCTGATCATAACACATGCAAGTGGGTATTGCAGCTTTCACCTTACAGTCCATTAAGCTTAAGCCTCCCCTTCCGAGCTGTAAGTTGCCTTTAAAACAGGGAACCAAGGCTGCAAAGTCTCTTTGTAGTTATGTCTAAGCATTTATCCTGGGTTTTTTCCCAATTTCTTGTAAAAATAGTGATTTCCTAATAATCTTGACACTTCTGCTTCTTGCACCCAAATAGAGCGATTCAACAGCTGGCCCTTTTAAAAGGATGTTGTGAAGTACAAAAATAAGCCCCACAAAATCATGCTAATCTCTCTTATTTATATTAAAGGATAAGAGTGCTTTGGAATAAGCTGTAGCTAAGGGTCTCAGGTCAGCTCTTGTTTATTCACGCAGGTTCACGTACATGTGCTGTGCTCATGTATCACATCTGTAAGTGGAGCACTGAAGAAGAGGGGGAAGCAAGCCGGACCTAAAATTTGCCTTCTTTTGACTAAAAATTTCCTACCTTGTCAAAGGTTCATGCTTTTATGTCTCTAACATATACTACATATAAAAGCATGGTGTGTGTGTGTGTGTTTTTTAAATGCCTTTAATCCTGACAACCACTTCCATCTAAAGCAGGCCTGTAAAAACTGTGATAAACAGCTTCTCCAGACCACACAGTAAACTGTGGCAACTCCAACAGCAATTCAGAAATGTCCAGAGGAGCTCATAGGGACCTCTTCACATGGCCCATGGGGGCTGTGCCATTGCTCTGGCAGTCACTGGCAAAAAGGGGGGCACGCAGGGTGTCTTGAAGCACCCCACACACCCTCTCTCCTTCCCTCAACATATGGTGGGGAAGAGACAGGTTGCATTAGCACCCTGTCAACATCACATGGGAGAAAGGGTGGCAACATGCATTGCCCTGTCACCCTTTCCCACATCATATGGGGAAAGGGGACAAAAGTGTGGGTAGCTCTGTCAGACCTATCCGAAAAACACTTTTGAGTACCAAAATGGGGCTATTTTGTCCCATGCGAAGAGGTCCTAGGACAGTTTGATCTTCACATGTGTTTATTCAAAAATCAGGTTCCCTGCATTCTGAACTTGGGAAGGTTCCTTTTTGGAGGCCAGCATAGTCAAGGGCCTCACTAGTATTTGTGATTTGGTTCCTTGCCTCTTATTCTGAAGCAGGTAAACACTGGATCGTTCTTCACATATTGAGGGGTACATTTGGAGATATGTAGTGAGATTTTCCATTTCCTTCAAATGTTTTTGCAAAATAGCCAGTGAAGGCTGGAGAAGGGAAAACTACTTTGAATCAGGTCCTTTTTCAACTCCCACAATTTATATGCTATTATCTTGAGGTAAATCCCTACCTATATGGTGATGGAGCAAAGTTTTGTGGATCCCATTGACTACTTTAAAAAGACACATAAATTCTAAATTCTCCCTAGAACAGATATGGGCAAACCCAGACCCGGGGACCAGATGCAGCTCCTTTGGCTTTTTTCTCAGGCCCCTTTGTGCTCCATCATGTTGGGTTTCAGAATACCATTTTAGAAGCCTTGACTAACAGATAATGCAGGAGATTCATTAGCATGAGATCTAGCATTTCTAATGGGAAAATTGGCCAGTTCATTCCTATTGCAAAACATCAACTCCACAGCCACATGCATGCATGCACACACAAATCCCATTGAGTGAGCAAGCTGACTTGCTCTTGAATTTGCTCTTTGTGCAATTGTGACATTAATTTTTTTTCACCAGGAGCACAGTCTCTGACTAAATCTGATTGTATGGGTGCACCGAATTAATGCTAAGCAGATGTTGTCAAGTAATTAAGGTTACACTTAGCAGCAGCTGCATTGAAAATGTGTAAGAAGATCCCAAATGGATTGAATAGGCCTCTTTTGTTGTTGTACAAATTAGGTTGGATATTTTTTAAAAAACAATGGACATTTTACTAGAAGGAAGTAATTAATTCCTGAGGGGTGTGAACATTTGGGATTTTTCACATATTAAAGCTAGCGGAATGCCATATTATTTATATAGAAGTGTTTTCAGCATGTTTACATGCAATTAGCTAGCTGTTTGTTACCATCTTAGGTCCCCTGCTGGGAGGAAGGCAGAGTACAAATGAATAAATAAATTAAATAAGATTAATGGTATGTGGGATTCTTGATCTCTCTCTGTCTCTTGTGGTGGGAAAGGATGGAGCTAACGCCTTGCTTGGCCATATTAAAGGTTTGTTCATTATAATGTCCTGCAAGTACTTGTTAATGACATAACATTCATGTTTTTGGTTAAGAAACTAACACTAAAAATGCATAAAGAAATTATGAGAGCAACTAATCACTTAGTAGGGAGGAAAGGCGCCTTATTTATATTTCAGAGACTTGGCTGTGATATACTTGAGATTCTATGTTTCTCCCCAAGCTGACCTCCCAGTTTTGCCCAAATCTGGTTTGAAACTCCTCAACTTGAAGTTCACTTGGCAAAGGCCCAATAACCAGGCCCTTTAATTTTATTCTCCTACCTTCACCACCAGCCCATTAAGAATGATCAATGATCACCATTCCCTTTGCAGACTCATTACCCTGAGATTACCTTTCAGATGATGCTGACCATCTGGGTTCAGCCAGCAGGCATCAGCTATAGATTTATTTAAGATAGGTAGCTCACACAGATAGTGGTGGAAGTTGGGGTTTTTTTTTTAAAGAAAATTTGGCTGGCTGGAGTTTCAACAGCTTTCAAGACATTTGTCTTTTCCAGGCAGGGGAGGCAAGGAAAATGAAATTTAGGGAAGAAAAATAGGGGGGGGGGGGGGGAGAGAGAGAGATAAGGGGAAGCCCAAAATAAAGGATTGTGATCTTGTTTTGATGCACAGATATAAAAAATAGCATCTTTTATAGGCTGCTGAAACCTGTCCAAATTCAACACCTTGGTACAAAAAGTTCATGCAATTCAGGTTACCAGATTGAAAACTGGAGCTGTCTCTTATCTTTAATGGCTATATAGAAAAGGGAAGTTCAGCAGGTGTCACTTGTTTTGCAACCAGCCGAGAAGTTGATGAAATTCACTCTTTTATATAACCATAGTTGAGTTACAAACATCTGACCTACAAATGACTCATAGTTAAGAATGGGGGTGAAACAACAGGAAGCGAGCGAAATCTACCCCCAGGAAAGGAAATTTATTCCTGGAAGAATTATCATGGGGAAAAGGTGTCTCCACTGAAGTTTTCTCACCAATCCTTGTTTCCATAACAAGCCATTTTTTTCAAAATCCAATTATCACAGGGAAAGAAAGTGAGGTGAAATCTTCTGAACACAGATGACAAAGCAAACACCACAGGGTGTTAACCTTGCTATCCAAAGTTAAAATACACAAACACACACACACACACCTGTTCTGGCTTACAAAAAAATCAGCTTAAGAACAAACCTACAGAACCTATCTTGTTCGTAGGTTGAGGACTGCCTGTAATGCAATTTAACTGCACTGAACTGCATTATATGGCAAAGTAGATGGGGCCTGTCAGAACCTTACTTGTAATATTTATATTTGCCTGCTTGTGATAAGAATGTACACTGTATGTTCTCCAGAATTTCATTTTATTGCTTAGTACATTCTGGGGAGTGCACCTCCCTCAGATCCAACACATCTGACCAAATTAAAACCATCCACATTTTGTTTCAGTTTGCATTTTATTTCATGTGAGGCACAATGACTCCTGGATGAAGGAAACTGCATCAGAGCTTAATCTGATCAAAATAATGTTGCTCGAGAGGAGCCAAAATGTACTTCAGGAAATAAGGATTTAACCTGTGTTGGATGGATAACATTTTCTTCAAGGACTTGTGTTTCTAGTTGAAGTATACTTTTATATTAATTTCTTTCCAGAGTCAAGCTTTTTGGTGGTGTCCAGCAGTGTATTTGTACCAATGATACCTGTTTCTGGAAGCACCACAGTGACGTATGATCACTACTGCTCGCAAGGGGGTTGCTTTTGAAGTGCTACCTATACAGAAGGCTGCATCCAGACTGTTGACTGTGGCTGGCTACAGGAAACACATGACTTCCTTGTAACAGCTACCATTCTGAGAGAAAGGCATACCATAAAACAAATAAGTCATGAAACATACATAAATGAGATCTTCACTCATTACCAATCTACTTCCAGGGACAACTCCAGATGTTGACTCTGAAGAAGTAGGAGACTTGGGGTCAAACTAATGGGGTGCATTTCTTCAGCTAAATAAATGCATGGATAGAGGCCTATTCGAGAGCGGGAGGAGGGCAGCCTGCCCTGGAATGGGAATGCTTTTTTAAAAAAATGAGAAAAAAAACTGAAAAAGACCATGAAGACAAGCCCAAATGCTAGACCAGAAATTTAACTTTATTATGAATAATCGAAGTGTCTCAGCAGCAGCATGACTCACGACTGAGAGACAAATACCATCATTATACAGCAAGACAGACAGATCCAACCACACAGCAGCAGGGATGGTGGCAGCAATAGCAGCAATAGCATTGAGACCCATTCTTTGAGGCTTTCATACACCCAAACATCATAAATAAACTGAAGCCAGACAGAAAAGGAGGCTTGGTGTTCCTTCTTTTTCATGGTCTTCTTGAGTCTCCTTTTTCACCTAGTGGCCTGATTCTTTAGCCATCTCTCCAGAGCATTCTGATACATACCACTTCATCATTGCTACACTGAACCATTGGATATCGGCCTAACACTCGCGTAGCACTGGACTTTACAGGCACTGGTGCTAGCTATCTGCCAAATGGCAATGCACTGGAGAGACCAGGGAGCATTGCTGAGAAATATTTCCTTAGCCTTTGTTCAGATATTCTGTCACTGTGGCACTAGTCTCGTGGCAATTTCCCATGACAGCCTTCCTTCTTTCAAAGGATGCTTCCAGGATAAGCCTGGGTACTTTTTTGATTGACAACTCCCAGAATCTTCCTGTGAGCATGACCAGTGATCATATTAGCTAGAGCAGTAGTTCTCAACCTGTGGGTCCCCAGGTATTTTGGCCTACTATTTCCAGAAATCCCAACCAGTTTGTTAGCTGTTATGATTTCTGGGAGTTGAAGGTCAAAACATCTGGGGAACGACAGGTTTAGAACCACTGAGCAAAAGGATGCTGGGAATTGTTGCCTGAAAGAGTCACTTTTCCAAATCTTGGAAGTGCCCATTATATGGAAGAGTCCCCTGTAGAGATCAAGTGATCCTTTAATTTGGCTGATTTAACCATTTAAGGCATATTTATTTAGGTAGACATTTTCTGGATGGTCAGTACAAAACCTGCTTATTCTGAAAGAGAAATTATATTGTGCTATTCTCTCATTGATTGGTGCTATTATAGTGAATGAATGTTTTTATTTTTTATTGTGTGAATTCTATGATTTTTTTTCAACATGACAATTGGTATATAATAGTAAAATAGACATTTCAAATTTAGGCTCCTCCTGCTTTCTCTGTCTTTTTTCTACCAGAAAATATTTACAACAATGCATTCTTCTTTTTTGAAAGAAAATAAACACAAAAGAGTGTGGTGCACCATTTTGACACCTGTGTCCATCTGATCAGACATTTGATAGTTCTTTTTTGAATGTATGTTTAACTAGTAGCCACGGATTATCACAAACTAAGAGGATAAGAGGAAAGAACTGGTTTATACTATTCTTATGCTGAAAATCAAACAATACCAGAATATTTGTACTTCTACCTTGACATACATTCTGCTGAGATAGTGTTGCCAAATGCCATTGGACAAATATGACACCTGAACTTTTAACTTTTCATAAATGCCATAATAAGCTAGAGTTCTTTGTGGTTAATGAAGAATTCAATACTGACATCCCACTTATTTAGCCAGAGGCAATTCTTACATTTTAAAATAAACACATGCATCCCTGACCAAGAAGCTTCAAATACCCTCCCTGATAATATTATATATCCAAGCTGGTGTTTTCATTAATTTCCTTCTCAGTAAAAATGAAAAAGGTAAGCAAAATAAAGGTTATACCTTTCTTTCTTTTGCAAAAATATAATCTCTGCCTTAACTTCCCAAGTGACCAACAAATCTTTCTCCTCGCTTCTAATGGATGCGATTTTACAACTGAAAGGCCTTAGAACTACCGTAATTGCTTTATTTCCTGATGGCTCCAGGAAAACTTCTAAGTTTTTATAGTCCCTGAGCAGAATGCCATAGCACAATTTCTTGTACCATGGCAGCCTTCATGAAATCTAATAGTAAGTACTTCCTTGCAGCCTTCAGAAAACGACAGGATGCTTTTATCCAAAGAACTTCTCTATAGCACAAATATCACTGGAACAATGTTGAAGCTTGAGGCTGGATGTTGATTCCAGCGGTTATAGAGTAGTGCCACAATTAAGTAATGTGTAACATTGACTGTTTTAGTTATTTTTCTGGTTATAGGGTATGTATGGCCTCATTGCTTCTTTGTCTTTTGTGGTGGCTTGCAACATCTGAGTGTCATTTTCAACCAGTAAAATTAAGGCTGCAATTCTCTTGGCCAGTTTAATTTTACTGATGGGCTTGGGGACTGTGGTGATGGAGGCAAAGCAGCAGGGATAAAATAGCCACAGGCACCACAGTAATGGGAGTTATGTGGCATTGGAAATGGTTTCTGTCAAAAGAGACAGAAGCTGCTCAGAGAGGGTAGCTTCTTGTGATGCCACAGATTGCTTTCTTTTGTCCTTCTACTGCACCATTCCCAAAATTGCCTTACACTGGTACAAAAACGTACTCTGACAGCAACAGCCTCCAATATTATTCCATAAAGTTACATTTGAACAACAAAAATTATGTGTAGCCTAAGCCTTCTAGTAATATCCAACTTATGGTGACCCTATGATGACTGCATCATAACATTGTCTGCAACTGAAAGTATCAGGGCAGCTAGTGGGTTTTCATGGACAAATGGGAATTTGAATCCTGGTCTCCTGAACCATAGTCCATCACTCGAACTACTACACTGTGCTACCAATTGTTTGCTAATAGTAACTAAGTTTAACTGAGTTCCATGTCCTTTCCTGTAATTTGAACCCATTGTTCCTAATTTCCAGGCCAGTAGAAAACAAGCCTGTTCTCTCTTCCTTATGACATCCTTTCACATATTTATACATGGCTATCATGTCTCCTCTCAACTTTCTCTTCTGGATATGTTCAGCCAGCAGAAGAGGAAATTGAGAGGTTATTTGTCAGGGGTACTTTGGTTGTGCTTTTCCTGCATGGCAGAGGATTGGACTAGATGATCCACATGGTCTCTTCCAACTCTATGATTCTATGATTCTATGTGACACTACTAAAAAAGTACACAGAAAATTGTAGACAGAGTCTTGTTCTCAAATGTTTGCTTCATCCTAAGGAAATTCTTCCCAGACAAAGGGATTAAAATTGGCGAAAAGATTGTTCCAATCAGATATTAGATGTTCTGTGGAATTTGTTCTGAGTCATTATCTTGAAATTTTGAGAGTTCATCTCATATTCAGCATCTTTCTATGGGTCAACAAACATACTAGGGTTTGTAGCTCTGTTTTCACTGAAATAACTTTGTTAGAAGAGAGATTTTGCCATAAGGACTTTATGAAAGGATTGTTTGGTCTTTCCATTAAGTCACATTGAGTTTGTTGCAAAAGGCCTGGAGAAAAAAAAACAAAGATTTCAAATAGTACTTCAAAATGTCGGGAACTTCAATAATAAAATAGTAAATTGCTCAATGCATTTTGTTGAGAATATTTCCTCCAGGGCCCAAGAATTCAATTTGTTGAGTTATGCAATATTACTCTTCCCCTTCACTCTCTTACGTATTTGATACTGCTCTCCTTCTCTTGTACAATTGGAATTTGCTGGCTGAAATGCTAAACATATTAAATAGGGAGAAAGTCATACTGAGAAAGACCATGTGGTATAGTAGTTTGAGTATTGGACTAGGACACTGGGATGCTAGGATTCAAATCCACACTTGACCAGTGAAATCTACTGAATTACTTTGAGCAATTCACACTCTCTCATTCTCAGAGGAAAGCAAGGAAAGTCTCCTCTGAATAAATTCTGCCAGGAAAACCCCTTAATAGACTCACTTTAAGATCACCATAAGTGATTTGAAGACTTACAAGACCTACTGAATTCTTCCACTTCACTAGATGGTGCACAGAAATGGTAAAATAAGGTGGGAATATAAAGAGATCTCAACAAGGAGAATTTCAGACACAAAAATATATGGGTGTGTGTGTCTTTTTTAGCACAAAAAGTTGTACTTTCTTAAGAAAAAAACAAGTTTTATATTCAGAAAAAAGCATTGTTTGCATAGAAAATACCATTTCCACATAGAAAATTCTGCCAGGAAACTTATTTTCAGTGCAGAAAATGATGTTTTTTGTTCAAAGCCCCCACTTTCTCTCTTCTTTCTTTCTCTCCTCATCCCTGCTTCCTCCAAAAAATAAAACCTCATAACTCTTGAACTACAACTATTATTTGAAAACTTCAAAGTTTTCCATACTTTTAATAGTAAAATTATTCATTCATTCCTTAACAAGAAATGTATGCCTAGACCAGTAGTTCTTTTGCCTTCAACTCCCAAAAATTCCTAATAGCTGGTAAACTGGCTGGGATTTCTGGGAGTTGTAAACAAAAACACCTAGGGACCCACAGGTTGAGAACCACTGGCCTAGATAATAGCCACCTGGTGCTGGGCCTTTTTGTACTTAGCTGGCACAGTGCTCAAAGAATAAATCCAGAACAACCCAAAACATCCTACAGGTTCACCGACTTGGCCAAACTTATCAGAGTTTGTGCTTCACCAACTTACTCTTAGATAGTCCAGCATTACTTCTGACCAATGACAAAGTATCAAAGTAGACATTTCTGGACTATGGTTCCCCCAAAGCATTTAATTCAAACTCTCTGGGCCAGACGAGGAAAAAAAAAGGTGAGCTGCCTCTTTGGATGCCTCCAGAAAAGGTCATTCATTTTTAATAGCTTGCAGAGGACTGTTTCTTTGATAATTAAAATCATCAGGTTTGTTTGGCAGACCATGTGGCCTCCAGACAGTCCAAGAGGCACAAGATTGGCCTCCTAAACCTACCCATTGCTCCCTCCTTTAACTGAGAAAACCAAAGAAAGAGAGCACTTATCCATTGTGAAAGCATGGCCCTTCTTTTGTCTGATTCATACCCTTTCAAAACAGTAGAAACAACACACATGGGTCTCTAGAGTAAGCTCACCAGCCTCTTTCCTTTTTCTACCACATCTAGTCGGTCACTAAACATGCATCCCCCTCTCCACTATGGGTGTATGAGTAAGCAAGCAACACAAACTTACAAAAACCACAGGGATGTTGTTAGTCCCAATGATGCCATGATAAGAAGCCACAGAAGTAGGCCGGTTTTGCAACAGCAGTGCTAGGCATTGGCATAAAGGAGAAAGAGGGGAGAGGAATATGAGGAAAATGTATTTTGTAGGTGTTAGCTGATAATGTTGAGGGCATCAATTAATGAGTGAAGCTCATCGCGCAGATTCTCCAGTGAGTGATGGATCTTCTGGGGGTTGTCTAGGAGCTCAATGCTGTATGTGTAAGGATCATACTTCACAGAAAAGGGACGCTTGATGTGTGCTGCATAGGCCCTGAAAGACAAGAGTGCAAACATAAAAGGTAGTGACCACAGGTGGGCTAGTAGTCAGCAGAGGAAGTAGAGAACTAGCATGGAATTGTGACTTGGGTGTTTTGTTAAGGGAGCATCTACACTGAAGAATTAATTCACTTTAACATGGCTTTAAATATCATGGATTAATACTATGGGATTTTGAGAGTTCTCTTTTGGTGAGCCACAAGGATTCTTTGGTAGAGAAGACTATAGACCCTGCATTGAGCCATGGAAGTTAAATGGCATCAAACTGAATTAATTCTACAGTGTTTGATCCATCCCAGGCCTCATATCCCCACTCAGCCATGGAAGCCCACGGTACGGCCATGGGCAAGGCACACTCTCAGCCTTAGATGCAAACCCACTACAAATAAATCTCCTCAAGAAAATCCAGGCTGGACTCATATTAAAATAGAGTTAAGTCAAAAGCTCAGTGTGATATCCCTCAGTGTAGTAGTCTCCAGTCTTTTAAAGACTTCAGATCCCATCACCAGTGTCCACTGATTATTCTATCAGGAGACTATGGCAGTTGTAGTCCAAATGCCTGGAAGACACCACTTGGGAAGTCTGATACCTACATTTTCAGCAAAACTCAGATTGAACTTGTGATTGTTAAGAATATTTGAAAAATATAACTATACTTCAAGTATGGATTTTAATTTTAAAATATAAATTAAATGTTTAGAAAATTGAATGTCTACCTCATAGTATTTTTAAATTCGTTCCATTTTTATTTTATATTAGAACTTTTTCTGGCTTTTTAAAACATTCTAGTAATATTTTTCAATACACCACAGTTTTCTTTTATCCAAAGCATCTCGACAATGTAAACAAATAACAACAACTGACCAGTGTAACATTATTCATTATGACACATCATAGTTGGCCTATAGTTGTCTCAGAAAACTCATATGCTTAGTATTGGCATATGGCAATATGCTGGGAATGGCAATCCCACAACATTTTTTGTTTGTTTGTTTGTTTCAGAAACGACTTTAGAAACTGAAAGTCACTTCCTGGTGCGAGAGAATTGGCTATCTGCAAGGACGTTGCCCAGGGGACACCCAGATGTTTTGCCATCCCTGTGGGAGGCTTCTCTCATGTCCCTGCATAGGAAGCTGGAGCTGGCAGATGGGAGCTCAACCTGTCTCGCAGGTTCAAAGTGCTGACCTTCAGGACAGCAGTTCAGCTGGCACAAGGGTTTAATCCATTGCACTACCGCCACTTTGTGTTTTAGACAGAGAAAGAAAGGCTATGAAGTGGCAAGAAAGAAGAAAACAGCTATCAAGAATGGTGCAATGAATTTGGGCAAGTGCATCTGAGACTCTCCAATTTTAAAGACATTCAAGTAAGGTCTACCAGGACTCATAAAGTCACACACAATAAAAGGACATATCTAACTATCCAGCCTACTACTTCCACATGGCTTGTGTTATGGCATCCTCTAGTGGCAATTTTAATAATATTCAACAGCAAAAAAGGGGGAGACATTCCGTTGTTCATAGCCTGTATCTCTAGTTACAGTTGCACATTTGACTCCTAGTTCCTATCATACCTAAAGTGACTTTTTTTTGCATTGTAACTTAATTGAGACACATCTGTCCAATTGCAGGAATTTTCCATAAGTGAAAAATAAGGGCCAGAATCTGGTTGGTAGTTGTGGATACTAGGAATGTGAGATCAATTAAAAATGGTTCAAAAGTCCTTACAAAAAAAGGGGGGGGGGGTGTTTGCTGGCATTTTGTTTCTAAAGTGTTTCTAAAGTATAGTTAGTAAAAAATTCATTAATATAACGAGAGTAAGAAAATTTTGTTAGTATTTCATTACATTAATTGCACACAAATTACTATAATTGAGAAAACTTCTGGGGCTCCTTTCTCCCTCATTTTTAAAGCTATTGGGATGAAACATGCTACAATTGTAGAATACCTTTACCACTGTTAGTCCACCAAATTTCAGAATTTTTCACTTAGCCACTTATTTTGGGGAGAATTTTGAATGTTTTTGTGTATAACATTTTTTAAAAAACAAAACTACCAAGAGCTATCTCCTTGAATTTTCTATACAATGGCAGGGGATAAGGGCTACGGACTGTGTTTGTCCAGATGGAAGAATTTTATCAATTTTTACCATGCTATTTTTTAATAAAAAAAACCATTAATAAAACATTTTTTTAAAAAAAATATTTCCAACAAATGTCGAGTATTCTCATCTAAAAGGAAAACAATGAAGTCTCTCAACTGTACTTATAAGAATAGACTCCTTTTGGTCTGCTGATATGTCCAGCTACATCTTACCTGAGTTTAGCTTTGGCATCACTGAAGCTCTCTGATACAAAATAAACTGGTTGATAGGTTTGGTCTTGATAGGGCTGCACAGCAGTAGAATCAGGATCAAAGTCTCTTAACTCTGGCTCATCAGACAAGGAGTGCTGGGTGAAAGGATAAAAGAAAGGCAAGGCTTCTTGCTGGAAATGTCAGAGTATTTTGTGGGGGGGGGGTAGGGGTGTTACTAAAATAGTGGCATTGTGTTGCATTAAAAAACGTGAATGCTACCACTAACTACAAAACACATATTACTATTTAAATACAGAGTTGTGTTAGCTGTGTTATTCTGATCAGTATGCATCAAGATCTTGTAGCATCTTTAAAACTAATTGAGAGGAAGAACTTGGTAGCATAAACTTTCATAGACTCATATCTGATGAAGTAGACATAAGTTTATAAAAGTTTATACTAACATTACCCTTTAAGAAGAGTGGGACTATCCCTTATCAAGTTACAACTGTAAAATAACTTAGCTATAACTTTCTTATTGGAAATAACAATTAATTACCTAGTAAGTAATTACCTTCAAGTTCTGAAAAATCTATATCTAACAGGTAAGATATCACTCACAGCAGAGGTTGGAATGACTGCTGACCAAAATATGCCAGGAAGACTTACTATTAGTTCTCCATAGGAAGAGAGGAGCCCAGCTCCATAGGCTTTGACAATTCCATTCTGTTTGCAGAGGCCAAACTCCACCGTGAACCAATAAAGCTAGGAAGAGAATGAAATCTCAGAGAAAGTCAATTATTCAAAATAGTTGGGATTTTGTTTTCCACTTCCACCTCCCCATCCCAATGGCACTTTATTTTTTTCAGGAAAACTGCCTAACACACAACACTACTGTTTTGCTTGTTAAGATACAGCTATTCTAAGCTATTGTCACAAAGCAGACTAGTAGCAAGACTCTACAGCCTGGGAGATGATGTAGCAACTGCCTGTAAGACATTTTATATAGCTATAATCTAGACCAGGGGTCCTCAAACTTTTTAAACAGAGGGCCAGGTCACAGTCCTTCAAACTGTTGGAGGGCCGGATTACAATTTGAAAAAAAAAACATGAATGAATTCCTGTGCACACTGCACATATCTTGTTTGTAGTGCAAAAAAGCACTTAAAAACAATACAATAATTAAAATGAAAAACAATTTTAACAAATATAAACTTATTAGTATTTCCATGGGAAGTGTGGGCCTGCTTTTGGCTGATGAGATAGGATTGTTGTTATTATTATTGTTGTTGCTGCTGCGTGCTTTCGAGTCATTTCAGACTTAGGTTGCCGGGTAAATGACATTGGAGGGCTGTATCTGGCCCCCGGGCCTTAGTTTAAGGACCCCTGATCTAGACAAACAGATATATTCTTGGATTCAATGAATTAAAATGAAAAAAATGATAGAACCTTACTGTTGCAAGTTTTTCAATTTCCTCATCAGTTGCTCCCAAAGAGGCAAGTCCAATGTCCTAGTACCAAAAAGAATAAGACTGTCTATAAACACTGCGAATGAATTCAATTAAGGACTTTATACTTTATATGCAAATTCTGCACTTTACTAGAGATGATGGTTCACACTGTTGGAATGGATATGCAGGGCCATGGATTCCATCCTGTATCATAGAGTTTAGAATTTGCTATGGTACCTATATTTCTCTTGAATTTGCTATGGTACCTATATAGAGCATTTAATCCACCCCTAGTCCAGGAAAAAGGGTACGGATTGGACCTATGTTGCTCAGCATTGATGCAGCAGACAGCTGAAGAGCTCCAGAGACCTCCTGGCCATATTTGGGCACCTTTGCTGGCATCACCCCCTCTTTCTTTCTGGCAGCACCCATGCTCATTGAAACTGGCACATTTGAGCAGTTACTTTCACATGTCACAAGCAAACTAAAATGTATAAAACTAAATATGTCTACAGCACTGGAAGGTCTTCTTTCTGCCATGTGCTAGATTTCTTCACTCCACATTTCTACTCAGGTCCCTCAGGCTTGCAGTCCTTCGAAACTGTCAGCAAGAAAAGTTAAAAACTGCATTCTATACATTACCCTTCTACAGCCAGGGATCCTTTCACACTATACTGTTGATAGCATTATGACTACACTTTACTTGCCAGGGCTTCCATGGAAGCATTACATGGAATCTTGTTGTTTGCTAGGGAATTCTAGTAGCCATTCTAGACTACAAATTCCATGAATCAGTATGATGGAACCATGGCAGTTAATGATGAATCATAGAGTTGTCACTGTGTCTTGTGCAACTTTCCCCCAGCTTTCCTTCACAGCCATGTTGGCTGGAAGAGTATGGGGATGATATTTGACTATATCTGGAAACTACAAGTTAGGGAAGGCTGCCCAACTTATACACCCTAATTCTTCCCTGTCACCTTTCTTACCTGATGGGATGAGGTGGATCAGCAGTTCCTGTGGTGCAGGGACAATAATTTGGTTCTTAACATCATTAAGTCCAAGGAGCTCATAATGGACTACAGAAAGACTAGACCAGAAATTCAGCCCATGTAGAGGGCTGAATTGTAGACCAAGTAGAGCGAGTGGCCAGTTTTAAATTCCTGGGTGTCATAGAATCATAGAATCATAGAATCAAAGAGTTGGAAGAGACCTCATGGGCCATCCAGTCCAACCCCCTGCCAAGAAGCAGGAATATTGCATTCAAATCACCCCTGACAGATGGCCATCCAGCCTCTGTTTAAAAGCTTCCAAAGAAGGAGCCTCCACCACACTCTGGGGCAGAGAGTTCCACTGCTGAACGGCTCTCACAGTTCTTCATGTTCAGATGGAATCTCCTTTCTTGTAGTTTCTTGTCACTGTTAAGGAGGATCTGAACCTGGGGCACCCATAAGACAGCATTGGTGAAGAGGGCCCAGCAGGGACTGTACTATCTGAGACTTCTAAGGAACCAACAACTGAATGAAAAACCGCTGGTGACTTTCTACCTCTGTGTTATAGAGAGTGTCCTAAACTAACTGCACAGAGGCAGATAGGATGGTGCTCCAAAGGGTCGCCACTACTGCAAAGAGAATCATTGTTTGCCCTCTCCCCTCTTTGGAGGACCTTTATAAGTCCCACAGTCTTATGAAAGCTCAGAACATTCTTAAGGACCCATTTCACCCGGCTTATTCTTTTTTGGAATTGTTACCATCTCGTATATGGTACAGGATGACAAGGACAAACAAACGGAGAGAGTTATTTCATTTCAAACATTTGTTCCCCAACCTTCTCAACCTCTGAGGGGGGACTCAGGGCAGCTTACAACCAGTAACAATTCAATGACAACACATACAACATAACAATATAACACAAGTTAAACATTAATTAAAACATTACATTATAAAATATCAGTTTAAAATCTTACTAACAACAATGTAGCCACATCCAAGTTCAATTCAGCATTCAGAGACCCAATCCAAAGCCTGTCCATTATCAATTCATATGTATTAATGCAATTCCAGTTAAGCCTGCTAGCCAAATGCCTGGATCTAAAATCACGATTTGAGCTTTTTCCTAAATGAAAAGAGAGATGAAGCTGACCTAATTTCACTGGGGAATGTGTTCCACAGACAGGGAGCCACCACTGAGAAGGCCCTGTCGCTCGTCCCCATCAGTTGCATTTGTGAGGATAGCTTTTATTCTAGAGCTATAACTATATTGAACTCCATGGTTTCCCATTGGTGTGGCATTGAGGGCTGTGTGGTGGTGGTTGGAATGTAGAGGGACGGGTGTGTTGTTTTTGTTATGTGTGCCAAAAAAGCATTTAATTTTGTTGTACAATGTACAATGGCAATGAAGTTATTCTATTCTATTCTGAAGCATATCTGTCTTCAGAAGGTTCAATGAACTTCAGCAATGTTCTAGAGGTTTTCTATTCAGACACAGTCTGTGCTTTCAGTACAAGGCAATTCACATCTTACTCACCTGGGAGAACTGTGCAAATGTCTTGTCGGCCAAGATTGGTACATGTCCCAGGAGTTCATGGCAGCAGTCCCTTCAGTTCAGAAAGAAAGGTGACCAATTAGCTGTTGGGTTTGGAACAGCAAGCCAAGCTTTGATACTCTAGTTGTCAAACAACATGGCACAGTTGATGTGAGGCATTTCTACAAGACAGTACTCACGGTTCTGGAGAGTGCATGGGAGAAGAGGCATGGCGAATGTATTGTGTGCACTGAAACACCCTGAAGGCCAAGCTGGCTAGAAAATCACGAGCAGAAAGCAGACCAGCCACAGGTCGGAGCTGAAACCCAGTTCTCTCTGAAAGAAACCAGACGTGTCCTTGATTATTTGGTTATATAATTCAAGCCACATTTCATGGGGTTATATAATTGTTCACAACTAAGAAAACAAATATCGATTTCAAAAATTGACTTGAGGGAGAGAGACTTAAGAATTTTAAAAAGCCTTTCCAATATTTCAGTTTCTATCAAAATCACTAAGTTTAGGATTCTGTAAAAATTGTTCATTTTAATAGCTACTATAAGTTATCTTTTTGTTTGTATAGAAGTGTGGTGTAGTGGTTTGAGTGTTGGCTGAGGACTCTAGTAGACCAACATTTGAATTCCTGTTCAATCATGGAAACTGAGAAGATGTCCTTGGACAAGTCACTTTCTCTCAAGCTGAGAGGAAGGCAATGGCAAACCTTCTCAGAGAAAACCTTGCCAAGAAAACCCCAGGATAGGGTTGCCATAAGTCAAGGTCAACTTAAAGGCTCATATGAACAGTCATTTTATAACATTCTCTTTCTTTCTTTGCTTTTGCAAATTACAAAAGCATTCTCTTTCTTTGCTTTTGAAAATTACATTCTCAAGTACTTTATAGAGCATTAAAATACCTTAAAGGCACCATATCCCATCTGATCTTGAAAGTAAAGCAGAGAGAGTCTTAGTTAGCACTTGAATGGGAAACAGATAACAAATTCCAGGTGCTGTATACCATATGCCAGAGAAAGGACAAGAAAAACCATATCTTAGCATAGAGGTTCTCAAACTTTTAAAGCCACGGAGCCCTTATTGAAGGAAACGTTTTTCATGGAGCCTCAAGAAACTTTTGAACACAGGGGCCACATTGCATTTTAAAATCTGACAGCTGGCCAGGCCAGTGGCAGATGGGTGGAGAATGTTTGTGCAAACTAATTGAAAAGAAAATGAACAAATTTCTATATATACTGCACATGTCTTACTTGTAGTGCAGAAAGAAAGAAAGAATATTTAAAATGAAGAACAATTTAAATATTAAATAATAAGAACAACATAAACTTAACAGTGTTTCAGGGGAAGACCCCAGGGGCCATCCAGTAAAACCCCCTTCTGCCATGCAGGAAAAGCACAGTCAAAACACCCCCAACCCAGCCTTTGCAACAACAACAGGAGGAGCAGGAGCAGGAGGAGGAGGAGGAGGAGGAGGAGAAATTCAGGGGTCATCTTACCCAACCACCTTCTGCCATGCAGGAAAAGCACAGCCAAAGTCAACAGATGGCATCCAGCCTTTGAAATTTAACTACTACTACTACTACTAATAATAATAATAATAATAATAGAAGGAGCAACCCAGGGGCCATCCAGTTCAACTTCATTCTGCCATGCAGGAAGAGCACAGTCAAAGCACCCCCAACAGATGGCCATGCAGCCTTTTTAATAATAATAATAATAATAGTAATAGTAATAATAATAATAATAATAATAATAATGATAATGATGATGATGATGATGATGATGGAAGGAAAAAGGAGCAACCCAGGGGCCACCCAGTCCAACTTGCTTTTACTCTGCAGGAAAATCAAGTCAAAGCACCTCCAACTAATGCATTGTGCAGCAATGTACTCAATCAAAGGGACCATCAAGATCAAATACACAGCACTGGCCAATAGTATGCCAGTTGGTCCCAACTATAAGACCCCAGGAAGTTTGATTTAAATGAAGATTCAAATTCAGAAAGACAGGTTGATCTAAATGCTCAAATACGTTAGATGACAAGATCATATTGGTTACCCCAATCCCTGAGGAATATGAGCGCTTTACCGAAATAGCAAAAAAACTGCTCACAGGCTTCTATACCGAGAGGCTGAAGAACACACTACCTTCAGGGCATTACTCTGATTCAGCTGCCATGTTAGAAGACTATTAGTTTCCATGATGAAGACCCCTTTAGTGAACAAACTCTTCATGTGGAACAGAACATTTTGCCCTCCATCTCTGAAGCCAAAAAAGAACAGTGGATAAAGCTGATAACAGAAGTCAATATGGGCAGGAGAAGCCAGATGGTCATGCAGCCTTTGCACCAACAACAACATGAGCAACCCATGGGGCACCCAGTCCAACCTGCTTCTGCTTTGCAGAAAAATCACAGTCAAAGCAATGTTGAAGAGGCCTTCTAGGCCACGCTGCTCATGCTGCGAGGAAAGCATCACGTTTCCTAGGCAGGGGGAGCGGGGGGGGGGGGGTGCAGTTTGAGAACCACTGTCTTAGCATTTCTTGCCTATGAAAATCCTAAGAAATTTATAGAGTCACTATAAATTGACATGACTCAAAGCATGATAAAGGGTTTTCTTTTTCTAACATGTTTTCCTGTAGAATATTATAAATACTCTCTTCTGTAGCTCCATTCCTTGGTATAGTGGATCTATTTTTTATTACATGACTGCTCCTTCTGCAGTGACAATGGGTGGTACAGGAATTCTCCCAGTGTTAAGGCTATGAAGGAATATGGTTCAAAAGTATTATGGTAATTTAAGGTGCAATATATTATTATATTGTTTTATGGATTTTACCCCCATTGAAGACATGAGCTCAAGATATATACAACAGATTCCAATTAAATCCTTCAGAATGTGTATAGGTTCTCTCTCTGTAGATTCTCTGTTGTTGTTTCGGGGAATCTTCCTTCTGTCTCTTTTTGAATTTTGCTCCTTAGTATGTGAATTTTTCTCACTGTTCATAATGAAGCTCTAGCATTCCAGGAACTAAAAGTGCCCACCTTTTAGGAAACGAGAGACATCCTCCAGCTGAGGGATGTTGTTTTCACTGTAACCACAGTATCTCTCCAGTAAGTAGAAAGCATCCAGGTGTTCTTTGCAGGCATGGCTGGGATATAGACTTTTCAGTGTACTGTACACCTCCCTCCTGTACAACCATAGAGAAAAATCAGATGTCTCCATCTGCAGACATAGTTGAGGCAGGTGCCTCTCATCTAAACCCCTCAGCAAAATAGCAGCTGATCATCCCAACTATGAGACTGCCTTCCCCACCCATGGTGCCTTCAGATCTCTGCACTTCTTGTTCTGCGATACAGATTTTGTGCATAAACAGCAAAAGTACATGGACAGTGGGAATCACCCCATATTCAGTTCTGCTGAAATAAGCCGGATTTCTGGTAAGAATACAGATTTCTTATTTGATTTTATTATGAGAATGGTTGGAACAATAGGATGTAAAAAGTTCCCACCTGCATTCACTGATGGCAATTAGTAAGATCCAGAGTGAACAGGAGAAAATCTATGTACAGTAGAGTCTCGGTTATCTGACAAAACAGGCTGGCAGAAAGTCAGATAAACGAAAATGTCAGATAATACGGAGTCTCCTACTGTTACCTGTCCAACATGGCACTAGACAGCTAGAATACTAACAATGGAGACTCAAGGGTTAAGGCAAGGCAATGCTTGGGGCTAGAGCAGCCCAACAGAAAATGCCTGGATGCAGAAGAGGAACATAGAAATCACAGAGGGAAAGAGGAAGGACACTTCTGCTTCTGATCCTGCATCTTTTTTTCCCCTTTCCTCCCTCCTCCTTCTCTTCGTCTTGCCTTTTTCACTTATTGGGAATGGAGAAAGGGTTGGGGAGCACTCCATTAATTGAAGGGGAAATGCTGGAGAAAAAGGGAGTGTCAGATAAGAGTGCTGGATAAGACAGAATTTCAGCTAAGCAAAGGTCGGATATGCGAGATTCTACTGTACTGAGAGACCCTTAGGAAACGTTGAAGTGCAGATATAGCAAAAAAAATCTACCCAAATTTTTGCATTTTGTCCAGTGAAAACTAGGAAAGATACAGTCATGCTCACCAGGTCGTTATCTCCTCTGCTGTGTATTCCACTCGAGGAATTGGGTCACCACTGATAGAGGAAGACAGGTTTAGTTTAAAACAAGAGGACAAGAAGGAGATGTGCAAAGGCATAATGTTACTGATATTGCAGAATAAGTCAGTATTGCTTAACTATGTTCAAATGTAAGACAACTCATTGTTCCCAGGGATTCTTGGTCCTGGGTTTCTGTGAGTTTTCCAGGCTGTATGGCCATGTTCCAGAAGCATTTTCTCCTGATATTTCACCCACATCTACAGCAGGTAATCTCTGAGGATGCCTGCCGTAGATGTGGGTGAAATGTCAGTAGAGAATGCTTCTGGAACATGGCCCTACAGCCCGGAAAACTCACAGCAACCCAGTGATTCCAGCTATCACAGCAACCCAGTGATTCCAGCAATGAAAGGCTTCAACAACACATTCTTGGCCCTCTTTATTATGACAAGTTTACACGTGATGTTGCTGTAGTATAAAATACTTAATTTAATAAAAATAAAACTTATTTATAGAAAATGAACAGTCAGTATGTAGTATGGTATAAAAAGCTTAAATGAATGTAGAAAACATATTTGAGTTTAAAATCACCAATGTAAATGATAATGAGACAATGCAAAAGAGAGAAAAAGGAAGAGGAAGGGGATACTTTAATTTTTTATTATATTATTTGAAGTTTGGCTATAAAATCTAGATACTTCTGGAAACTCCAAAATTGGAATTCTTTAAGAATGACTGTGCATTCATATTCCACATTTAGCTGTTCGTAATTTTATATGTGCATTTTTTTTTGCTTGAATGTGATTTCATTTTCCACTTTTGATTTCTCCTGCTTTCTCATTGTTATAGTCTTAATTTCCATTGGTTTTGTGCTCATCAATTTAAAGTTCAGCTAGAAATAAATACATGTTTTTATAAGCACATTTCCTCCAGTATATGTTTTGTATGCAATTTTCTCTAATAATACATTTATTGCAAACAATTTCCCCTGCTATAATGCATCATCATGTTCACATTTTTGTAAACATTTTCTCATAATATACACAATTTATATGTATTTTTACTGGTGACTGTATAACAGCATTTGGGAAAAATTCAATTGCCAAAGGACATTTGCATTTCATGTTGCACAGAAGAAAACATGGAATTAGAATCTATCTAATTTACATTCTCACATTGAAATGTGAGAATTCAATATATTAACATTGAAATGCAAGCCAAAAACATTCTATCCCACAAATTACTTTTATAAATCTATTCCATTCAGAGATCAAAGGTATTATAAATATCACATAAAGTATTACTCTCAACAATTAACTTCTTTGGTTATTTCTCCATGTTCAAGAAATAGTGGTAATGGCTGCATGGAATGGGCAACTATGCAGTGGGAAGGAGATGAACCAATGGGTGAAAAACAGAACAAAGAGAAAAATGAAGTGGCTATCTTAGCCAGTAACACTAGGCAATATGACAAGTCTTACTGTTTATAATGGAAAGCAATTTCTGCTATCATTTTCCTTCGTTGCCGATACGCTTGGTCAGAGAATCCCTTCAAGGAAAGAACATAGCAAGAATATTGTTTCACATTTTGGCATTAAATAGTGTTAATAATCCTAATAGACAATGTTGTTATAAGTTGTCCAAGGTAAGCGAGGATAACATTCCCTGGCAACTACTTTTTGCTAGAAAAGCAACTATTGCTTCCTTTCTTGAGTCTATTCCAGGAAGTAGTAATACATTTAAATTCTCAGGTGCTCCTCATGCAAACACCCATGTGCACATCCTAAGGGAAAGGATTAAAATTCACTCTAATTATAATTACCATCTAATCATCACAAAATAGGGAAAGGTGGAGCAATGATTAATGCATTAGACTTTTGTAAGAGTTGTGCAGGTTTGAGTCTGTGGTTCACCATTCAATTCATTTAGATTAATAATCACCATTTGATTATTGCCTATTCTATAGGGTTATCATGGATAGGTACAGGATCTTGGAATACACATGTAGTTAGAATACACATATGTGGAATGCTAGAGTACAATATAGTGAATAATCTGACTTTTAATTACACTGATGTAATTCATACTGAAGTGTTAATATTGTCATACAATTACATTATCTTTGACACGCCTTATAGTGTGCCATCCTAGTAGTTTTCATTTTTATCATCTTCTGCAAGCCTTTTGTAATAAGAATGGGTCTTAAATATATATTCAGAATCAAGCTATCATAAAATAATTTGCATTTCAACAGGGATCCTCAAATTGCAGCCTATGAATCACACATGGCCTCTGGATCCCAGTTTTGTGACTCCTGAAGACCTTCATTGGTTCCCTAAAGTCCCCAACCCCAACATTTTTAAAGACACAGCAACACAATTTCCAATCAATTTCAAGCACAATTTTTGACCCCCAAGCCATGCAGACAGACCCCCAAATGTGTGATAAACACACACACACACAATCTGGTAACAAAAGAGTCCCTGCTAATCAAAAAGTCCTGGGACTTTCATCCTGTAAGCCCTAGATCCACTGCATTACTAGTATATTCAGAAGAACAGCAAATCCAAGCTTGATGAAATAGCTAAAATGGACTCAGATAGAGGAGAAAATAATATTGAGAGGAAGAGAATTTGTGAAAACCAGAATTATTCACTCACTGGATGATCCAGATCCAAATCAGGATCAAACTTGGTGACCAAATGGTGACATCTATCTAGCTCAGAGATTTTTCTTGGAAACCAGTGAACTAAAAGAAAGAAAGAGGAAGTTGAATAAGAATTAGAAATAACTTTGTCAGCACATAAATGATATGGTGATCTTATCCCATGTAAGTTTTAATGTGCTCAAGAAGCAAGGACTACAGAATGCGTGTCTAACCACTTCTTTAGCATCCTGTGTAACATTTCCTGTGGTAAAACACATACAAACCAAACTTACCTGTTATCAGTACTTTTGGGAAATATAGTACTATTACACATCACACATTACATACTTACTCGTATGCTACTCTGCCTTCATTGTAAAGAAAGACAAATGGAAAATCTTTGTGGGAAAGGTTCATAACATTATAGAAAAATTATTATGGGGTAAGCATAAGATATCTGAAACAGGAGTAAATCTAGGTGGTGTGAACACCCCTCATCATTGTAGGGTCATCCTATTTTGTCTTGAGATATCAGATCAAACAGGAGCTAATCTGGGCTATCATCATTTATTTCACAATGTGTCAACTGAACATGCAATGGCACATTAGAAGATGTTTGATGTTCTCCTAGCAGAGAGGCAACAGTGGCAAAAGACAGTAGAAATAGATAGCACCAAACTGCCTATATTTGAATGCCTGGTTTTGGAGGGTGTTTGCACCCGAGTGACATTGTGATCTTAGAAGCACAGAAAACTGTTTATATTTAATCAAACCATTTGTCCTTCTAGGCCAATATTGGCCACTCTGGTATAAGACTTCAGAGACAAGAAAAGATTCAATGTGTCTGTGAATAGTGGCTTCGCTTGACTTTGAAAACTTCCTCCCCCATTTTGTGTCACTAGGGGATGCAAGTAGCAATCCATCTTTTGCCCCCAGAATGTTAAGTCCCATTGGTTCCCCTCCCCCATCAACATTATGGAAGTTATTCATTTTGAAAAAAGGCTTCCATGAGCCAGGCACATCAAATAGCCAGTTGTACCCCCAGGTGACATGATTGGCCATATGAGGTGAAAAGGTTGCAATGGGTCATGGTGTATGTCTCTCCAAAAGAAAAAAAAGACTAGCAGGAAATGAAGAAGAGAAAAAGAAAGGGCAAAAATAAAGAAAAGGAGAAGGAAAAAGAAAATATCATGAACTAAGGTACAAGATTCTTACTCTTGTCTTCTTTTGTACTCCTTACATCTTCAGTGACCCGTTTCAGAGAGCTGATGAGGGTGCCCAGGTCTGAGCTATGGAGTTCACATCGAACAAAGTATTCCAGATCAATGGTCCCCTCTCGCAGTTTCTTGCTGGGTCTTGTTTCTAAGTGATGTATTTTGGCCTCAAATGTCTTGAGAAACAGACACACAGAGACACATAGAGAAGCCATCACTCAGAATAAAGCAACAAAACACCTCAGCTGAAATTGAATTAAACACTGCCTGTAGAAAAATCTAACACTTTCAATAAAGAGGTTATTTACAAGGCAAGGTTTATTCTAAGCTTTTTTTTCTTATTGCACAAGAAGTCAGAAAATCAAGGAAACATCTAATCCCAATCCTCCCAGTGCTGCTGTTTTGCATGACCATGCAATTATAATTATAATTATAATTATAATTATAATTATTAAATGTGTGTCCTTTTTAAATCTTTGTTTTGTGTATTTTAATATGTATTTTATAGAAATACATTTCAATGTGTATCTTTTATAGAAATACATTTTAATATGTGTATTTGAAGTATTTTTACAATGTTAATGTGTTTTTATTATTCTGTAACCTGCCTCAAGCCACAAGGGGAGGCGGGTAGGAAATAAAATTATTATTATTATTATTATTATTATTATTATTATTATTATTATTATTATTAATGGAAAGAGAGACAGCTTTACCAAGACATTGGACATCATCACATTAGCCTTCAGCTCGGTCTTAGTATGTTTCCAGGAGAGAACCCCACCAGAAATAACCCTGTGTCATGTGATGGGCTCTGGAGGAGCTCCATCCTAGCGCCATCCTGGAAACATCCTAGGATGAAGCCCAGAAAACATGAGAGGCTCCCCATATTCTCATTAGTTAGAATGGGGTCAGTGCGGGGGAAGTGTGATAGGGAAAGTGGTAATGTGGACGATGGAGGGGCTGGGGGAATGGTTTCCCCCACTGTTCTATGGATTCACTACACTGATGGAACCCCCCCCCCCCCACTGTTACCTGGCTTGAGGACTTCAATGTGTTATACAGAATAACCCCTGTATTTTAAGTGATACATTCCAAAAACCCAGTGAATGCCTGAAGCCATGGATAATAAAGAATATAATTTGAATATATATGGTCTGCAAAATACCATAAAATTGGAGAATTTAGAGAGGCCCACAGACACTTTAGAGAGAGAATTACTTTGGAGCATGGGTAAGTAAAACTGTGGGTACTTGGATCCACTAATGCCATAGTGGCTGGAATATTTTCAAAAGTAGCTCTTCCAAGCTCTTCATTTCATTATTGACTATTTCTTAAAAAGGATTGGTTAACTCCGGTGAAAAATTCTTGATGACATCCCAGAGCTTTACCTTCTCTACTAAAAAAAAAAGAGTGCTGTGTTTCTATTTCTGAAAGAGTTAATCTAGCTTCCGTTTTGAGAATCAGTAGGGGAGAAGGCTGCAATAGATAGACCAAAAGAGGACAGAAGGCAATGTCATGAACAAATTTAATTTAGCACCCTGTTTTCTAATGCATCCCTAGAACGTTGACCCTCCACGACAATCAATACCTTAACATTAATCTGACAGATCTGATTGCATTACCTTTGCTTGAGTTGTATGTAATGTAAAACAGGAGAGTGAAACCAGCCTCCCCACAGCCCATTTCATCATGAGGTAAATGTCATTACATCCATCTGTTTTCATATCTTGTACCTGCAGTGCCGGAGGGATCGGGGAAATGAATCTTTCATGGTGGACGCCAGGCATGCATTGGTGTTTGCTTTCATTAAACACTCTTCAGAATAAACCAAGAGAGATTTTTAACTCTTGTAAATCTCACTGAAAGGTTTTAAATACAGTATGGAGTGGTCTGCATCCTTTGTTCCCACAGATCCACCAGTGTATCTCTTTTGTAGAGGCTTATTATTAAATCGACTGTAACATAAGACAGCAAACTCCTGCACCTCCACCTACTCACTGACTGCTGAGGCACAGTTTTGGAAAGCATTAGGGGCTCTCTGATAACAAATCACTTTTGATTCTTGCTCCCTGTATCTTGTGTGTGTGTGTTTTTTTTTTAAGTTTTCACAATGAGAACTACAACTATTCCATCAGAGCTAATAGTAAGGGTTTTTTGTGTCAGGAGCAACTTGAGAAACTGCAAGTCACTTCTGGTGTGAGAGAATTGGGTGTCTGCAAGGACAATGCCCAGAGGATGCCAGGAAGTTTTTGATGTTTTACCATCCTTGTGAGAGGCTTCTCTCATGTCCCCGCATGGGGAGCTGGAGCTGACAGAGGGAGCTCATCCGCGCTCTCCTCAGATTCGAACCTGCGACCTGTTGGTCTTCAGTCCTGCCACAGTGCCACCGGGGGCTCCATAATAGCAAGGTGTTTGGGGAAACCAACCATGATTCAAAAATATTCGAGGCAGGGGGGACCTCAGAATTCATTTGAGTTGTTTGTAATTTTATATAAGGGACACCATTTTACTATATCATTTTTGGCATCCACAGATTTTGGTATCCACAAGGGGTCCTAGACCCAAACCTCCATGAATACTAAGAGCCCACCCTGCAGAAGTACAGCAATATTATTCCACTTAAACTGACTAAGTTTCATTTCATGGAATCCTTAAATTGGCGGTTTAGGAAGAAGCATTTAGAATTCTCAGCCAGAGAATTCTAGCACCTCACCAATTTATAATTCCATAAGATGGAACCCAGGTAGTTAAAGTGGAGTAATAACACTATAATTCTTTAGTGAGGATGGGCTGATGGTCTTCGGGTTTATGTCAGGCATCTAGAAACATGTGAACAACTAGGCTACCTCCTTTCATGGTAAAGTGTTCCGTGGGTTTTAGCTAAAAAGACAACATCACTTGCTCACCTCAAACACTTTAAGTGCTCGGGATGGCAGGGAAGTCTTTGCTCCTTTGAGTGTGAATAGCAAGTTTAACATGGCCATGCCATCCTTCTCTTCAAAGACAATTGTTTCAGTGGGTTCAGCTGTTTCAGAGGCAGATGCTGCCGCAGCTGTGGCGGCAGCAGCAGCAGCCTCTCTCTCCTTTCTGGCATCTTCAATGAGGCTCTGCCGTCTCCCAATGAACTGTGGGGACTGAGAGAAAGAACACAAGGAGGGAGGGGGGTAATTGTCATTTCACAACAGCCAGAGTAAACAGTCTTCATCTCTTTCCACATCTAAAAATAAACAAAGGACGAACTAAGACAAATTTTGTAAGAACCACCATACTCAAAAACCATGAATTAGAGATATATTCATATATTTATCAGCTATATTCAGTCTGAGAGTTCTTGAACTAGTCTAATCACTGTTGAAATAAGATTACTTACCTTCTATGTCCTATCTCTGATAGTTAGATTACTGTAATGCAATGTCCATGGGGCTGTTCCTGGAGATTGGCACCATAGTTTGGCAGAAGATATGGCAGAAGGCACTAGAGAGGGAACCATGCTAGGTAAAATCTGGAGCACATTTCCATGGAACAATTACTTAACCTTCAGCACTGCTAGCTTTTCTTGTTGTACTGATGTTTCTGTGCTTCTTTGACTGAGTTTAACATCTTAATGTTTCAAGACAACTATCAAGCTGCCTTCTGAAGTCTTTTATGGTTTCAACTGGATCACTGGTAAAGTGCAATGCACAACAATTCCAGATTGAAATGACAGTACTGATTAATCCTCTGTCATTCCACTTTCTCGATTGATTTTAAAATATCCCAGTTTTTCTCTCCATCACCCACTTTTTTGTCCCTAATTTACTGCAGCTGCTGTCTATTGAGTTCAAGGTGCATAAGTAATTTGCACTCCATTAACTTGAACAGTAGGGAGTGGACAGAAGACAGTAGTATCTTACCCTTCCCAGTATGTTCAGGCAAAAGCAAACTGCTGCAGCCACTCCTACTTCCTCTTTAGTAACATTTGCCATTCTAATCATGTTCTGGTATTGCTTGGCAACACATATCTCAGTTTTCATCTGTGAAGTGTTGGAGGATAAAGTAGAATGCATACTTTGTTTATGGAAAGTCATGTTTATGGAAAGATATCTTCAGGTCAGGCTCAGTGTCAATTGTCAAGAGCTAGATGGGCCAGTGGGACAATCCAGTTTAAGGCATCTTTGAGAGTCAAATGATAGAAATTGATATGCAAAATATAAATGTTAGGGAAAAGAATAAACAATAGTATCCAAATAAACATTTAAGAAATTCTACATCTTTTAATTTATGTTTTAATTTGTTATGAGTCACCTTGGATCAAGTGCAGGAAGAAAAATGGGATTTAAAATAAAATAAAGTTAAATAAAAATTAGATACAATTTTAGGAAAATGAATTTTGCACATTGTTGTAAGAGAGCAGGAATTATCTTTTTCATTTTACAAAACTTTGCCACTAGATGCAACGATTTATTTGCACTATTCCCAGCAGACTTCAGGGATGCCACTATCATCACCCTTTTCACAAAGGCAGGAAGAACAGACCTGTGCTATTATGACTAAGGATGTGAAAAGTGGAGTAAGAACAAAGGCTAACATAATGAAATGATAACATTTGCAAATAGAAGGTGTATCACATTTAAACAGTTTTCTTTCCGGTGAATGTGCTTCGGATCCGTATATCGGGGGGGGGGGGGCAGATTGATCTGTTTGTGACCCTTTGTATATTTGTATTTGAGTATTTTTATTTAAACCTTATTATTGTAAACTGCCTGGGGAGCTTAAATAAAACAAAGCAATATATCCTTGCAGTGCTGATCTTTTCCTTAAGCATACCACTGTCAATACTTTATCACATCAGTCCAGTATGATGCAGGGAGAAAAATCCTGAGTCCAAACATATTCAGCCACTGTGGGCATCACACGGTTAGTCTAAAACTCACTGCTCTGCACATGGAGGATAATCTATCAATGAGATTCACAAGGTTGTGGTTTGAAAAGGAATTCATACCTTTTTGCTTTGGAGGCACACCTGAAAAGAAGCCCATTTTGGTAGGTAAGTTGAGACCTTTTCATTTGATTTTATTTTGTGAGTTGTTGGAAAGAGCTAACATGATGAGAGGCAGATAATGTGTTTAAAATATTGTTAGTTGCCTGCATGTTTCTCAGTTATTTTTTCCCACTGACTCTTTTGGTCACTGCATGGGTTTTTCAAAGCATAGAAAATGTATAAGTCTGATATCAACATTAAGGATGGGCACGCCTCAATGCCAACAACACCTCTTGTCTATTTGAATATATCTCCAGAAGTCTGAAACAATGATTTCTCAATTTCCAGCCAAATTATCTATTAAGCATGCTGTTAATAGCACGATCATTACTTGAGATTTTTGCTCCTTTCTATTGAAGCATACTCTCAATGTTTCATTAATTAATTAATTAATTAATTAAACAAACCAACAAACCTATTAACAAACTGTCATGCCTTGGTGATATTAGCCAGATATACATTCACTTAAACCTGCTGCATTTACCACATATATTTCTAAAATTATTTCCACAGTCCTTTGAGAAGAGACTATTTAATTCCCAAACAAGAATGAAAAGAAAGGATTTTTCATAATGTTCTGTACTGACTCAAAACAACATCATCTTTCTTTCTCATTATTTTCCCACTTGTAGCATTCTGGAGTTTTTCCCTTTCACAATGAGATGTTTTAGTTCCTCAAAGGAAGAATGTAGACAAATATAGACCTGAAATGTAGTTCTTGTGATGCAAAGTAGAGGGAGTCAGAAGCTGGTTGCATTGGATTTTCAACTTTTTATTATAGGTCATGCCATTAGGGGACTACAGACCTTTACAATTATTGCCCGCCACTACATTTCTAAGTCTGTTTCTCACTGCAAGTGAAATAATATTTACATTTGAAAAGACAAATACACAGTGGTTAAACCTTTGCTTCTGGAGTTGCGGCAGCAATTTCAAGAGATAAATTTCAGCATGAAAACTGTGATTCACCATTTCATTTTGTAATACTCCCAGCTTCCCATCACGGTAGGAGATATTCCTCGCTTCGGTTTGGCACTGGAAACTTCTTGCACTAAATGACAGCTACTCTGAAAAATACCTGTTTGATGGGAGAAGAACATCGCCATGTGGTTGTCAATCATGAAACATGACTGCCATGCCATGATCTTGTTCTGATTTGGGGTGGATGATGAAAGTAACATTATTTTTGTGGACTAATCCAGAATTTCCCCAATAGTTGGCTAGCAATTTCTGGGAACTCTAACAAAAATAATCTCCATGAAAGGCCAATGCTCTCACAAAGTTTAAAACTCTTAACAGTGTGACAAGGGATTCTGAATGGGTCCATTTATCTAATCCCATGCTGGAATAGAGTGGGCATACATTTTGAAACTAATAGGTTATTAGAGGTTATTTTGACATAGATGTTTTAAATCTAGATCATAATGCCTCTCACAGGCCTCAACTGAGGTTCATTTTAATGTGCACAGAGAAACACAGGTTCACCCCTTAATGGGTAATTTGACTGAATTTGAGAGTTTATGTTAGAGACCACATTAAACCAAAAAAATGTGTTGAACTCCACCTCCCCCAAAATGTCTAGCCATTGCACAGCCATTGTAAAGATAATAATTAACTATGTATTGTCGAAGGCTTTCATGGCTGGAATCACTCAGTTCTTGTGGGTTTTTTCGGGCTATATGACCATGTTCTAGAGGCATTTCTCCTGACGTTTCGCCTGCATCTATGGCAAGCATCCTCAGAGGTGAGGTCTGCTGGAGCTGGGGAAAAAGGGGTTTATATATCTGTGGAATGACCAGGGTGATTCCACAGATATATAAACCCCTTTTTTCCCAGCTCCAGCAGACCTCACCTCTGAGGATGCTTGCCATAGATGCAGGCCAAACGTCAGGAGAAATGCCTCTAGAACATGGCCATATAGCCCGAAAAAACCCACAAGAACTGAATCATTAACTACATTATCTAAATTCCTTGGAGGAAAAACAAAAACATGTACATGAGCTGATAATTCATTTAAATTTAGTTGGCCACTTAGTTATTGTAGCTCTAGACACCTGTCCACAACTATCTCTTTTTCCATAATAGAAACAGGAAAAAAGAGAAAAATCCTAGGAAGTACATAGCAATGGTTAAGACATGGCAAAAGGGAGAGGAAATAAGACACAGATAAAATAGAAATCTCCCTTTTGCCTAAATTTGAACTGAGAGCCAAACTGCATGTGAAATCATCTCATTTAAATTTAAGCATAATAAAATTTTCATTTGCTTACCTGATTGCTTATTCTTGCAAAAAAAATTGGATGATAAAAATGGGAGAGCACAAATTGTCATTAAAGCCGGAAAGTCACCTAAAAGGAACTTGTGCAAACCCAGTGATATTTTGAGGTTTTTCCCAGCCTCTCACACTACTACCACTGTTGAATAGCCTTTCCTCCATGATACTGAGAACTAGTTGGGTTCACAAACAATTTGACATACTGTGCTGCCTGGTGTTTAAGAAAAACAAATCTTAATCTACCTTTTGCTTAGAATATCTATTCTACCAGTATTTAGATGCAGGTTCTGTTTGATTTCTTATAAAAATGTTGCTTCCATGTAATAGAAAGGTGTTTTTCACTGATGTGATGCAAGATGATGACAAATGTGTATGAATTTAAGTTGCATGCATGTATGTAGGGATCCGGTTCCATTGACCTTTCTAGAAACATGCATTGGTGTGCCCTTATGTAGGAGCAACATTTGTTATTACCAATGGGGCAGACTGTATACTCTTCTTCCAAGAAGGGATTTCTCCATGCAAAAGCATGAGTACTGCACTTTGTATTTACCTAAAGGTAAAATCTCCAGGGACTTATTTTACCGACCATCTATGGGAAAGGGTATTAGGATCAAAGGCTTTCATGGCCAGAATCACTGGGTTGTTGTGAGTTTTCCGTTGTGAGAATTAGGATCTTCAATTCATTTTATCGGGGGTTATGTAGAAAATTGTTCTACATAACCAGCCATTTATTGGCAATGGAAGGAGATCCTTCATGTATTACAAAGCATCCAACAAGCTATTATGCAGTCAATATAAATCCAATAGAACTGGGACTTTTTAGGAGACTTTTACTGATCGATTATAGAAAGGTCCCTGCCACCCAAAACCTGTAATCTAACCTCAAACTACATGACGTGTTGTGGTTGGTTATGGTTGTGTTGTCTTTGTTGTGAAACAGCAGCTGTATAGAGTGCTCAGCATTAGGACTATAACATTTAAGAAGGGGCATTAACATTTCCCCACCCCCCACCCACACATCACAATACAGAGAGCATCCTGTACCTGTATTGCTGATCATAGAATCATAGAGTTGGAAGAGACCCCATGGACCATCCAGTCTAACCCCCTGCCAAGAAGCAGGAAAATCTCATTCAAAACACCCTGACAGATAGCCATCCAGCTTGTTTAAAAGCCTCCAAAGAAGGAGACTCTACCACACTCCAAGGTAGAGAGTTCCACTACTGAACAACTCTCACAGTTAGGAAATTCTTCCTAATGTTTAGGTGGTATCTTCTTTCCTGTAGTTTGAAATCATTGCTTTGTGTCCTAGTCTCCAGAGCAGCAGAAAACAAGCTGTTATTAACATCAACATCAGCTTCCCTGTTAAACTAAATTCAGATATAACAATGTCATGGTTGAAAAAATGAACAGACCAAAATTACAGCATAGCACCAGTTAACCTGTTGGCCCCCATTATCACATAGATTCAATGAAAAGGGGAATGTAAGAAATGTTCATTAACTGGCATGGGGCAAAGTTCTCACTTTAGTGCTTGGAGTCAAAAAAGCAATTTTATTGGGAAAGGCTAATTGTCACTGAACTGTGGAAGAAACAGAAAGGTTTTGCTGCTCCTTCAGCACTGTGATTTCAGTCCTTATTTCTTCTCCTTACAGCCATTTATTGGCAAAAACAACAATCAGAGGAATATTATTTACCTTATTGCATAATGTGATGCTGTGGTTCTAGATTTCAACATTACTTGATGGAATTGTTCATTTGACTTCCCCTTGAATTTTTTGTGAATGTTTCAGAGTAAGGAGCCTATGTTCTCAGCCTCAAATTCACCAATTCACTAATTCACCGAGAGACAAATATGTCACTTGATTGCTGTACACTTGGGACTGGCAATAATGTGGGTCAACTAAATCAGTTGAAAATCATTGCATGTGATATGTTTTGTCTTTGGCTCTAGATCAAAGAATCAGGCACAGTGGGAGACATGACTGGACCACACTGTAATAGCATGTTTGTCTGCTGGTCCCCACATTGACATTGATTCAATTTAAAATAAATTAAAATGACAATACATCAGTTTTCTATTGACTAGCATTAGACAAAGCCTCAATCTAATGCTAGGAATCAAGAATCACTTGAATGGTAACTCAAGTGAATGGTAAAAGATTTCCCCTCACACCACCCTCTGCCATTTGAATCTAACTCTTCTCAAGACACTCTAACATTTAATTAATCATATTTGAGCATATTTTCTTTAACATCTAATTTCTGCATTTGCAGGTGGCCCTTTTCTCTTTTTCTCTTAGTGGTATTATCTCTATGTATCAATGATAAGCACGGCTTTAAAATCACTTTTAACAACTAGTTTTGTCCAGTCTTTGAGATCTCCCTTAAATCGAAATTCTAAAGTTATACTCGTAGTTCTTACCATCCATCAGTGAGCTGTCAGTACAAACAGTGCTATGGCTTGAACTGCCTAGACTAATAAGTGCAAGAGGGCTTTCCCCTGGTTTCTTACCATGATGGCTTCTGCTTGCTTGGAGTCCATCTCAGACACCGCCCGCCGGAAACCTTTGGCTGAAGCACTGGAAGAGTTTGGGGTTGGCATTTTGGCTGGTTCCCTGGCTCAGCTATCAGCTTTGATTTCTCTTCTCTTCCTGGGCTTTTATAGGCCAGGTTTGACGTCAAAGACCCTTCCCGATCCCCCTCTGCCCACCTCCCTCCCTTCAGCCTGAGGGAGAGAAAAAAAGGAGGAGGGAGGAGATGCAGAGGAAAGAAGTACTTGTGTCCCATTAAATCTAATTGCTGCTAAGATTGCAGGCATCCAGCTCTTGCAAAACCATTGCCGGTTCTTCTCCTGCATCCCCAAAGTTTTTGCTAGATGAAAGACTACTCCTGTATCGTATTGCAGTTCCCTGTTCTATACAGCAAGCTGAATATTCTTTCAAACACTGGAAGTAAATAAGGGAATCAACACACTGTCAAACAACAACAGTCAAAAAGGGGAATAGGTGGCATATCCTTTGAATTTATGGCTCTAGTTATGTACTCTAAGGATAACAAAAAGGGAGTGTGGTAAGCTGATGGATCTGCACTGAAGCCCCTTCCACACAGCTGAATAAAATCCCACATTATCTGCTTTGAACTGGAATATTTGACAGTATGAACTCAGATAACCCAATTCAAAGCAGATATTGTGGGATTTTCTGCCTTGATATTCAGGGTTAAATGGCTGTGTGGAAGGGCCCTTAGAGTGAATGTGAAGAATGAGGTCAACTGGTCTATTAATGTGGCAAATGGTGCATTAGATTGCAATACAGGACCAGTGGTGTGCTACTTTGAATCCCCCACACCTATTTGTGCTTTGGAGCCCCTACACCTACTTATAAAAAGAGGAATGAAATAGCACCATACCCTTGCTTGGAATTAGAGAACCAAAGAAGAATCCCTATCCAGTGAAACATTGGGACTTGTCCCAATTCAATGAGTACGCCAAACATTGTATTTCCTGATATAAATATGAGTCAATCTGTGTGAATAACTTCCTCCTTTGCTCATTGGCCTTTTGTAAATAGTTCCTCTGGTTTCTTTCTACTGTTTTTTTTTTTTGGTTCTTCTTCCTGTTGGGACCAAAAATATGTTTTCTATTGAAAAGTTACACAAGACAAATATCTTTCCCCCAATGTTCCATCCTTCTTTGGATTTTACATAATAATAGCGATGTTAGTAATAATTCAGAATACTTTCATTTTTATATTCTTTATTCAAGGATTCACTTGACACCTTTCACTTGACAATTTTTACTGTTATGATCTTGGCAACCCATCCACGGTTTGGGGCAGAATGTCTGAAGTCTGGAGCCTACTCTATACGAATGGGCTCCCATGAAGTGCTCTGAGAATCTACACATGTATTCCAGGCTCACCATTTCAGACTTTTCTTCCCAATATAGAGATAAAGTTGGAAATGATACAATGACAGGCCTTTGTGAGAATACCCTTCATATGACTGGGATTATCTCATTAATCAAGACCAAGGTGGATCTACAAAAAAAAGGAGATAGCCATATAACTTTTAGGTAACTTTTACTATACTGTTATCTCTTTTGGATTCTAGAATGTTGGAAGAGCAATTGCTTTACTTGCATAACAATGGAAAGTCTTGTAGCACCTAAAGGATGTAGAATTTTTATTTGGCGTAAACTTTTAAAGATAGCAGACTGCTTCATTAGATGAGATTCTTTCTCGAGAGTCAGTATCTTGACGACTTAAAATACCAGTATTGTGACCACAATATGTGAAACACCTGTACCAATGTTTTTATTCCAGCAAAAATTAAAGTAGATGTTGCCATGTTAGTTTCTCACATCCCATGTCCCATGATCAGAATATATAATGACTGGAAAAGATAAAAGGCTAGCTCACAGGTTATATAGGTTGAAAGTACAGACAATGGAAATGTAATGTATTGTCGAAGGCTTTCATGGCCGGAATCACTCAGTTCTTGTGGGTTTTTCGGGCTATATGGCCATGTTCTAGAAGCATTCTCTCCTGACATTTTGCCTGCATCTATGGCAGGCATCCTCAGAGGTTGTGAGGTCTATTGGAAACTAGGAAAATGGATTTTATATATCTGGGGAATGTCCGGGGTGGGAGAAAGAACTCTGCTGGAGCTAGGTGTGAATGTTTCAACTGACCACCTTCATTAGCATTTGAGGGCCTGGCTGAGCCTGGGAAAATCTCTTGTTGAGAGGTGTTAAGATGTGCCTGGTTGTTTCCTCTCTGTTGTTGTGCTGTTGTAATTTTAGAGTTTTTTAATACTGGTAGCCAGATTTTGTTCATTTTCATGGTCTCTTCCTTTCTGTTGAAATTGTCCACATGCTTGTGGATTTCAATGGCTTCTCTGTGTAGTCTGACATGGTGGTTGTTTGTGTGGTCCAGCATTTCTGTGTTCTCAAATAATATGCTGTGTCCAGGCTGGTTCATCAGGTGCTCTGCTATGGCTGACTTCTCTGGTTGAAGTAGTCTGCAGTGCCTTTCATGTTCCTTGATTCGTGTTTGGGCAATACTGCGTTTGGTGGTCCCTATGTAGACTTGTCCACAGCTGCATGGTACACGGTAGACTCCTGCAGAGGTGAGAGGATCCCTCTTGTCCTTTGCTGAACGTAGCATTTGTTGGATTTTCTTGGTGGGTTTGTAGATTGTTTGTATGTTGTGTTTCCTCATCAGCTTCCCTATGCGATCAGTGGTTCCCTTGATGTATGGCAGGAACACTTTTCCTCTGGGTGGATCTTCATCTTTACTCTTGTGGCTTGTTCTTGGTCTTGCAGCTCTTCTGATGTCTGAGGTGGAGTATCCATTGGCCTGTAGAGCCCAGTTTAGGTGGTTCAGTTCATCTTGGAGGAGGTGGGCTTCGCAGATTCTTTTTGCACGGTCTGCCAAGGCTTTAATGGTGCTTCTTTTTTGACTTGGGTGATGGTTGGAGTTTTTATGTATCTGTGTGTGTGGGTTTTCTGTAAACGGTGTGACCCAATTGTTGATCTGGTTTGCGGATGACTAGGACATCTAGAAAAGGCAGTCTTCTTCATTTTCTTTTTCCATGGTGAACTGGATGTTTGGGTGGATGCTGTTAAGATGGTCCAGGAACCTGTTGAATTCTTCTTCTCCATGGCTCCAAATGGTGAAGGTGTCATCCACATATCTGAACCATATCGTGGGCTTTTTGGTTGCTGTTTCCAGGGCTTGTTCTTCAAAGTGTTCCATGTAGAAGTTAGCTATGACCGGGCTGAGAGGGCTCCCCATAGCTACTCCATCTTTCTGTTCGTAGAATTCATTGTCCCACTGAAAGTAACTGGTGGTAAGGCAATGGTGAAACAGAGCCGTGATGTCTTCTGGGAACCTCTGGTTGATGAGTGCCATGGTGTCTGCTACCGGGACCATGGTAAATAGAGATACCACATCGAAGCTGATCAGTTTGTCGTTTGTATTTAGCTTGAGATTGCTGATTTTTTCTATGAAGTGGGCTGCGTCCTTGATGTAGTGTGTAGTGAGCCCAATATGGCTTTGTAACTGTGCAGCAAGAAATTTTGCTATCATACGACCTAGCAAAATTTCTTGCTGCACAGTTACAAAGCCATATTGGGCTCACTACACACTACATCAAGGACTCAGCCCACTTCATAGAAAAACTCAGCAATCTCAAGCTAAATACCAATGACAAACTTATCAGCTTCGATGTGGTATCTCTATTTACCATGGTCCCGGTAGCAGACACCATGGCACTCATCAACCAGAGGTTCCCAGAAGACATCACGGCTCTGTTTCACCATTGCTTCACCACCAGTTACTTTCAGTGGGACAATGAATTCTACGAACAGAAAGATGGAGTAGCTATGGGGAGCCCTCACTTTGAAATGAAGAACTCAACAGGTTCCTGGACCATCTGAACAGCATCCACCCAAACATATGGTTCAGATATGTGGATGACACCTTCACCATTTGGAGCCATGGAGAAGAAGAACTCAACAGGTTCCTGGACCATCTTAACAGCATCCACCCAAACATCCAATTCACCATGGAAAAAGAAAATGAAGGAAGACTGCCTTTTCTAGATGTCCTAGTCATCCGCAAACCAGATCAACAATTGGGTCACACCGTCTACAGAAAACCCACACACACAGATAGATATCCACATAAAAACTCCAACCATCACCCAAGTCAAAAAAGAGGCACCATTAAAGCCTTGGCAGACCGTGCAAAAAGAATCTGCGAACCCCACCTCCTCCAAGATGAACTGAACCACCTCAACTGGGCTCTCCAGGCCAATGGATACTCCACCTCAGACATCAGAAGAGCTGCAAGACCAAGAACAAGCCACGAGAGTAAAGATGAAGATCCACCCAGAGGAAAAGTGTTCCTGCCATACATCAAGGGAACCACTGACCGCATGAGGGAAGCTGATGAGGAAACACAACATACAAACAATCTACAAACCCACCAAGAAAATCCAACAAATGCTACGTTCAGCACAGGACAAGAGGGATCCTCTCACCTCTGCAGGAGTCTACCGTATACCATGCAGCTGTGGACAAGTCTACATAGGGACCACCAAACGCAGACACGCATCAAGGAACATGAAAGGCACTGCAGACTATCAACCAGAGAAGTCAGCCATAGCAGAGCACCTGATGAACCAGCCTGGACACAGCATATTATTTGAGAACACAGAAATGCTGGACCACTCCAACAACCACCATGTCAGGCTACACAGAGAAGCCCTTGAAATCCACAAGCATGTGGACAATTTCAACAGAAAGGAGGAAACCATGAAAATGAACAAAATCTGGCTACCAGTATTAAAAAACTCTAAAATTACAACAGCAAAACAACAGAGAGGAAACAACCAGGCACAGATTAACCCCTCCCAGCAAGAGATTTTCCCAGGCTCAGGCAGGCCTTCAAATGCTAATGAAGGTGATCAGCTAAACATTCACACCTAACTGCAGCAGGGAAGAGCTCCTTGCCCCACCCCAGCCATTCCACAGATATATAAACCCATTTTTTCCAACAGACCTTCTCAACCTCTGAGGATGCTTGCCATAGATGCAGGCGAAACGTCAGGAGAAATGCCTCTAGAACATGGCTCTATAGCCC